GAAAGCAGTTATTGATGAGAGTAGCTGGGTAGACTATCACTTAGTTACTCGAGATACATCAATACGCTATACATGCCTTGCCACCTTAAGAAAAATGGTCTATAATGTTTATTATAGGTATAAGCTACAGGAGGGTCATTTTTGATGCACCATGCATTTTTGTATTCCATTCCTTCTTTCTTTCATTTCCTCCTTCTGTCATTTGCTTTGCATGACTACTAATCAACAGTTCTCACAGTAGTCATCAGGAATTGTTTTAGGGGCATCCATCAAGACAATTGGTCATGATAACTGCTGGCTCAAACTAACTTGTAGGGTGCTTAAGGTGGAATGTGGTCTGTTTCTGGCAGCCCCTGATATTGCGGGAATGACAAGGCAATCACTTGGAACTCCCAGTAAAATGAGCCAGAAAGGTGGTAGTAGTGAATGTATATTCAGATTTTTTTTTTTTTTTTTTTTTTTTTTTTTTTTTTTTTGGTATCTGACTCTGCAGTGGTTTATTCCTGCCATTCGAACTAATTGGAAACCATGTGAGTAAAACCTTTTAAGCCCCCTAGAGTCAATGCTTGGCTAGAATAGATTTTATTTTTACTTTTAATGTTTCCAGCTCTAGACTTACTGGAGCCAGGAAAAGACTCACTGCTTAAACTATCTTTTTTCACTTCATCTTTCTCTTCTCCCTGGCATCCTTTCATGCCCCTTTCTGCTTCAGAAAAGAATACTATTCACCTGATAATGTACTGTAAGAGGGGAAAAAAACAATTTTCAAGATGGGGGAGAGGCTGCTCTGTTCTTTCAAATTCCCTTTCTAACTCCACATCTGGGTCATTTCACAAGACATGACCATCCTTACATCACAATACTTATGACTTGTGCTTAGGAATAAGAGCTGTGTTCAAAATCTGTAAACTGCTTTGGTGAGTCCAGATTGCAAGGAACTCATTTACAGGTTAGCTGCCTGTGTGGACACCACACCTGTAAGTGTCTGTTTTCAATCTTAGATTTGCTACCCTCCAAAAATGGTCTGAGTGGAACCCAATCCTGAAAAACTTTTCCCTATACAAATCTCTCTCTCTCTCTCTCTCTCTCTCTCTCTCTCTCTCTCTCTCTCTCTCTCTCTCTCTCTCTCTCTCTCTCTCGACAAGTGTTTCCTGTGTCGTAGGTTGGCCTTGAACTCATTGTGTATCCAAGGAAGACCTTGAACTTGCGATCTGGTTACTAGAATCATAGGTGTGCATCAGCATGTCAGTTTATGTGGTGATGGGTATGGAAGCCAGGCCTTTGTGCATGTGGGTAAGCACTCCCAACTGCCCCGCACCCCGAGACTTTCTTATGGGTATCCCATCACACTCAGTGTTCTCTTCTCACAGTCCAGCCAGGGTAGCTAGCTCTGGAGCCATGAAGGTTTCATTAGGTTTATCCTGGTGTCATCATGTGATGCAACTGGCGGTGCTTATTGGCGAAGCTTCTTTTCTGTTCTGTGATTTTTATAGTCTGAGTTTATTAAGCGCTCCAGGAATTCAGCCTTCTGGAATTAATTAAAAAGGCCCGCTTCTTAGGCTGAGCTGTGGTAGAAACCTGCAGAAAGCTCTTGCATGATTTATGTGCTTTGAGTCTTAGTTCCCAGGAAAAGAGTTAAATGAACTCACAGTAGCCTAGAATAATGACTGTTGTCGTTGTCGCCTTGAAGAGATTGGATGGACCATGTTCTCATTGGCTCCAAACAGCATTTGTACATTGTGGCTTCTGGTCTTGTACTATCCACCGTCAGTGCAGCTTTCTGTTTTTACCCAGAAAGTTCTATATAGCCATTTTTTTTGTAATCTGGCTTCCTGGGTTGCGGAGGGTCACATTCCACATAGGATCCATATGAGTAAAGAAAAAAATGAAAAAGAAAATGTTTGCTGTCTGTATTTTGAATTTATCTTATAAAACATTTATTATTGACTTTTAAACACTTGTAAATGGACTCTAGAATGATTTTGAAATGTTTATTATATTCTAAAAGGACAATAAAGGGTTGCAGAATGTGTTCTGCAGTGGAAATTACAGTCCTCTGGGTTGAGCTGGGTTTTCTGTCTTAATTCAAGTTGCAGGCAGTCTGTATTCATAACACAAACTCTAGATGGACTCTTGCTTTGGGCCTTCTGTGTTTCAGATCCATCCTATCTATAGCATTTTTGTTTTGTTTTGTTTTGTTTTTCAAGACGTTTCTCTATGTAGCTTTGGTGCCTGTCCTGGATTTTGCTCTGTAGACCATGCTGGCCTCGAACTCACAGAGATCTGCCTGGCTCTGCTTCCCAAGTGTTAGGATTAAAGGCGTGTGCCACCACCGACTGCCCGGCCTCTAGCATGTTTTTGTTTGTTCCCCTTGTTTTCTGGTATGCCATGGATTAGGTTTTAAAGACCATTACATAGTGCCAGATTTCTGGGTGTTGTAACCTCACAGCTCTTGATACAGTTTGCTAATTCCCTGCTTACATATTTTTCCCCTCACTAAACTTTTAAACCCCACTAGGCCAAAAATCACATGGGCCCTCATGTGTGAATTAAGCACAGTAGTATTAACTCGGAGTTACTAATAATGCATAGGTGTTGCGTTAAGGAAGGAAATGAAAGTACTTCCTCTCTGAGTAGTTTAATTAAGAGTGAGTGCAAATTTGAATGTTTTACTTCATGCTCCCTGCCTGTGTCTTCTGTCTGCCTACCTGCCTATCTATCTGTCTATCTATCTGTCTATCTATCTATCTATCTATCTATCTATCTATCTATCTATCTATCTATCGTATGAATTGAAATCTGTGCCTGCCTGAAGGCTGTCTTGTGAATCTGTCCCTGTGTCTGTCCTTGCGTGTCTATGTGTTGTGTGACTATGTGACTATGTGTGTCTGTTCCAAATAAAGGACTTTGCTCTGTCTTTATTGAACAGAACAGAAAGCATCATGTATGGAAGGAATGAGATACTTTACAAAATATCTTTAGCAGAGTTTTACAAGAGATGAGTCACTAGATGCCACTGATCTCAACTGACTCAGACAACAGTGCTATAAATATCATTATTTATCAACCAATATACATAAATAATATATTCAGCATTTGTGATAGTTATTCATTTTAAAAGATTGCTTTCAACCTCTGTATTTGTTGCTTTCAGCAAATTATATATATATGCATTTTTTTTCTGGGTCAGGAGCATGGAAGAAAACATGAATTCAGATTAAAGCTATGCATTAACTTCAGTTAATGGAAAGTTAGGTTAGTGGAAAGACAAGTAAGGCTTCTTGTTACATTTTTCTCTTAAGGCTTTTGCTCCCGTGCATATCCGTGTCCTAAGATTCTATGTTCTTACCAACAACTCATGTCAGGCTCATGCTGCAGAGATAAACACCACACTTGAGTAACAAGGTGTTAGAAAACATTAAGACCGTTTGCAAATCAAGCTAAGCATGGCACCAAGATATATATGTATATTTGCATGTATGTATGTATATAGTGTTCCAAGGCTTCTTTCATTTTTTTTTTTTAGCCTTTAAATTACAGAACAAATGTATACTGTCTTTGGCACTTAGATAACATTTACAGTACTCCTTTTTTATTTTCAAATTGTAAGTCTAAAGATAGCTAGAGAAACAGTTTAAAGCATAGCTTCTCTGCTGTGGATACAAGTTGTTCCAGTCCCTATTGGTGAGAAGTGAGGAACTTGCCGCCCGCCATGTCCTGTCATGTTAGCTCATTTTGGAGGGAAATCAAATCTGGCACCTTTCAATTAACTTCCTTCCCTCTTCATCTAAAAGCAGATGGAACACACTGTGGAGCAAGAAGGCGTGAGTGCTATCCTTGGATTGCCTTGGCTGCCTCCATTGTGGCTTCTGTCTTTTCAAAACTCGCTAAAAGTCATCCTATAATGGCAAGAAAGAGCTCTCACACTGGAAAGTGGTCCTGTTGACACAAAATTTGTTCTCAGTTTCGCGTTGACACTTAGGGCAATCACAGTGGCCTGTGTCAGTTAAACCTAGAGGTCCCAATGGAGGGGATAAGTAGAAATATGTTTTATATTGTTGCTTGCTCAGTCTCCTTGGTAATGAGTTTAAGGTATTCTACAGGAAGAAAAAGGGGTGACAGGTATAAAAGATAAATCTTTGCCTTCATACTTGAGTTTATGTTTCATCCTGCTATCATAGGAAAAATATGTGTGGTATTTTTAATGATGCTGGGTGTAGTCATGATGTACTGTTAACTAGCACAAAGCCAGATACTTATTCCGCTTTTGGGGTGTGTGTGTGTGTGTTCATTCACAGCAGAAAAGAGGAAGTAAGTAAATGCTTGCCTTGGGATACCCTTATTCTCTTATTACCTCACCCCCTTGTCCTTTATAATGCATTCTCTAGATTCCCCATTAAGCGAAAATACGATTTTTTTACCAGAATTTAAAAATACATTTTGCAGGAGATAGAAACTTGCAGATTTCTAGTTTTTTTACATATCTAAAATATTACATGGTAACTATGTTTAGGAATGCAACACATTTGAGGAGAATTTCTTAATAAGGTTGTATTTTCAAATGGCTTAATTCCCATTTTACATTTTTACAGTTGATAATTCAGTAGGACTTCGTGACATAGCTCTTAAATTCCCCCATCTCCACCTTAAAATAACAGAGCTTTACAACTAATCTTCATTAACAGACACCAAGAATCCAACAGGGCATCAGTAGCACTTGCCTAAGGATATGCAAATAGATATTTAAGAAAAAGTACTGATTGATGTGTAAAGATTTTTGATAATAAATGTAATAGTCCCATCTCATTTTAAAGAAATGACTCATACTGCAGTCGTTTATTTCTTAGACATCTTTGGAGCTAAACGATTGTCATTTTGAAATGCCACCAACCTGGATCCCGAGACTTAGCTCCAGTCACAGTTTTGCTCCAGGAGATAGCTGTAGCACTGTTTATCCTATTATTACCCTGAACTGACTCCTGTCTTCTCTTCTACAACAGGTTGCAGACTCTGTTTAACCAAGAAGTTCCTAGGCTGCTCTATACTGGCCCGACTTACTATAGAAGAAGCAAGATTTGCCTGCCTGGCTGGACTTCTGTTGACAGTACTTATCACACGGCGTCACTCTTTGCTCATGCGGCAAATTCTCCCTGTGGAGTTGTTTTGCACATGGAGGACCACTGCGTGAGGGGCAACCTAGGCAGATCAGACTAAACACATCAGAAGGATTGTTTTACCATCTGCCCTCAGGTCGTTTCCTCTCAACAGAAGTTCTAGACTTTGACAGAACCTGATCCGGTCATTTTGCTTTTGTTTTCTTGTTTTCACTGTTATTTGTCGTTGCTTTTGATTTTATTTTCTCCCTTCATCACATTGTATTTTATTTCTGTCCTTCAGCAATGGGCCTGCAGACTACAAAGTGGCCCAGCCACAGGGCTTTTTTTCTAAAATTTTGGCTTATGATTTCCCTGGGGCTCTACTCACAAGTGTCAAATCTCCTGGCCTGCCCTAGTGTATGCCGCTGTGACAGGAACTTTGTCTACTGTAATGAGCGAAGCTTGACCTCAGTGCCTCTTGGGATCCCGGAGGGCGTAACCGTACTCTACCTCCACAACAACCAAATTAATAATGCTGGATTTCCTGCAGAGCTGCACAATGTACAGTCAGTGCACACGGTCTACCTTTATGGCAACCAACTGGATGAATTTCCCATGAACCTTCCTAAGAACGTCAGAGTCCTCCACTTGCAGGAAAACAACATTCAGACCATCTCGCGGGCTGCTCTCGCCCAGCTTCTGAAGCTGGAAGAACTCCACCTAGACGACAACTCCATATCTACAGTGGGCGTAGAGGACGGAGCTTTCCGAGAGGCCATTAGCCTCAAACTGTTGTTTTTATCAAAGAATCACCTGAGCAGCGTGCCTGTTGGGCTTCCTGTAGACTTGCAAGAGCTGAGAGTAGATGAGAACCGAATTGCCGTCATATCAGACATGGCCTTTCAGAACCTCACAAGCTTGGAGCGTCTGATTGTGGATGGGAATCTCCTGACCAACAAGGGCATTGCTGAGGGCACCTTCAGCCATCTCACCAAGCTCAAGGAATTTTCCATAGTCCGGAACTCGCTCTCCCACCCACCTCCGGATCTCCCAGGTACGCATCTGATTAGGCTGTACTTGCAAGATAACCAGATAAACCACATCCCATTGACAGCCTTCTCAAACCTCCGTAAACTGGAACGGCTGGATATATCTAACAATCAGCTACGAATGTTAACTCAAGGGGTCTTTGATCACCTCTCCAACCTGAAACAGCTCACTGCTCGGAATAACCCTTGGTTTTGTGACTGCAGTATTAAATGGGTCACAGAATGGCTCAAATATATCCCTTCTTCTCTTAATGTGCGTGGTTTCATGTGCCAAGGTCCTGAGCAAGTCCGGGGGATGGCCGTCAGGGAGCTGAATATGAATCTTTTGTCTTGTCCCACCACAACTCCTGGCCTACCTATCTTCACTCCAGCTCCAAGTACAGTTGCTCCAACAACTCCGTCTCCTACTCTCTCTGTCCCAAGTCCCAGCAGAGGCTCTGTGCCTCCAGCTCCTACCCCATCGAAACTTCCCACCATCCCTGACTGGGATGGCAGAGAAAGAGTGACCCCACCTATTTCTGAAAGGATCCAACTTTCCATCCACTTTGTTAACGATACTTCAATTCAAGTCAGCTGGCTGTCTCTCTTTACTGTGATGGCATACAAACTGACATGGGTCAAAATGGGCCACAGTCTTGTAGGGGGCATTGTTCAGGAACGAATTGTCAGTGGCGAGAAGCAACACCTGAGTTTGGTTAATTTAGAGCCCAGATCCACCTATCGGATTTGTTTAGTGCCGCTGGATGCGTTCAACTACCGCACTGTGGAAGATACCATCTGTTCGGAGGCCACTACGCATGCCTCTTATTTGAACAACGGCAGCAACACTGCTTCTAGCCATGAGCAGACAACTTCCCACAGCATGGGCTCCCCTTTTCTGCTGGCGGGCCTCATCGGGGGTGCAGTGATTTTTGTGCTCGTGGTTTTGCTCAGCGTGTTTTGCTGGCACATGCACAAAAAGGGACGCTACACCTCCCAGAAGTGGAAATACAACCGGGGCCGACGGAAAGATGACTATTGCGAGGCAGGCACCAAAAAGGACAACTCCATCCTGGAGATGACGGAAACCAGTTTTCAGATTGTCTCCTTAAATAACGACCAGCTCCTTAAAGGAGATTTCAGACTGCAGCCCATTTATACCCCAAATGGGGGCATTAATTACACAGACTGCCACATCCCCAACAACATGCGATACTGCAACAGCAGTGTGCCAGATCTGGAGCATTGCCATACGTAACAGCCAGAGGTCCAACGTGAGAAAGGTGGACAACCAAACTCTCAAGAACACACATGTGTGTGCACATAAAGACACGCAAATTACATTTGATAAATGTTACCCAGATGCATTTGTGCATTTGAATACTCTGTAATTTATACGGTGTACTATATAATGGGATTTAAAAAAAAAGTGCTATCTTTTCTATTTCAAGTTAATTACAAACAGTTTTGTAACTCTTTGCTTTTTAAAATTAAAAAAAAAATGTTGCTGAAGTACTGTACTGGGTTGTACAATGAGGACCCAATGCCAAGGCAGAAGAATGAGTGATTCATACTTAAGATGCATATTAACCACTTTGCTGTTGAAGCTGTAGAGCTGATAGTCATATAAAAGGATAGATTCAGATGGGCTCATCAGGGTAAGAGGAATAGTTTGAGTAAAGAAAGAATGGCCTAGTTATTTCTATGTTTTCTATACCTCCTGGCCTGGAAGAAACGCTGTTTGAAAAATCCATAATATAATAATAGAGGTAGTTATTCCAATTTGACCCAGTACAAGAAATAGAACATCACAAGGAAGCCAGTTCCCATGAGATAAGTTAGGCCTACTTGACCAAATCAAAGAAAGTGAGAGATTTGAAATGTCCTTAAAACCCCAGGGTTGGCTTTCTGACTGTGAACTTCAAAATCACTCTTCATGCTTCCCTGGCCTTATGTGATAACAGAGTTGGAAACCTGAGTCTGATTCTAGTCATCTTCAGGGACCAATATGATCAGTTCTAGCAAGAAAATTCCCCTTAAAACCGTCACTATTCAAATCACATGTCAGGTTGAATCATATCCAACAGAGTTATATTCTAGAATAATTTTTTTAGAAGAGGCTAATAAAAATAATGGGAAGAATTATATTGAATGGAATTATTTTTGATAATGAAAATTATTTGGGTAGATTCACTAAGGCTACATCAACATGGTGTTTAGACCAACAAAGAACAGTGTTTGGAATATATTACAGTAATGGTGTTTATTTAAAGAGTACTAATACCACTTAGAAAAAAATCAATGATTCTCTTACACTGTGTCTGCTGGCTTTGCTAGTATCATGTTGAAATAGCTTGAATTAATACGTATATCCCCTCTCAAATTCTTGTCTTCCAATCATCTTGCATATATATATTTTTGTGATTAAGTTGTATATGCCACCTTTGTTTTCTCCCTCTGCTTGGTATTTCAAAGAAAATTATGGACCCAAATCTTGGTTGCACAAAATATCCCCATGTGTTTCTACATATTACAATCCGTATTGACATTCATTGCCAATGGTTCTGTGAAGACACCAAAACTGGCCAAAATAATGCGTATTGTTAAAAAGCAATACTATGTTTCCATTTTGAATTAACTTCGGTCCTCTTCCACATTCTGAATTCCATTTGTTCCTTTTAGATTGTGGATATCCCTCTAATTTTGTACTCATAGGGTGATAATTAATCTTATGCTAAAAGACTACCAGTGAAAATGAATAAGCCAGAGAAAGCAAGGTTTCCCTAGTGATGGCAGAGGAGGGCCAAAAGCAGAGGGTATAGGAAAGAGAGGGATGTCCATTATTGATGCTAGATATTTTTTTTGAAGCAAGTCCACTTTCATAAAAGATGCATAATTTACTCTAATTCTTGTCATCCCTTAGGTGTAGAAGGGCTATAGACCACATACATTGTCTAAAGAAATTTACCCTTGGGGAATTCTTTTCAAAGCCACATTTAGGCATTTCATTCTGTGTTCCTTTACAACCATCTATCACTTTAGGGACTCATGAAGTAAATGTCACACTCTTCTTGCTTTCTCTTCATCTCTAAGCAAAATAAAACTGTGATGTGTCTTCTTGTAAAAGTTTAGGTATAAAATGCTATGCAAGCTTTTCTTTATAGCGAGAGCTTTATTTTCTTTAATAATATACCCTGACTTATATGTTTTAATCTCCCTCATCCCTCAGAATAAGCAGAAAATATAACTGCAGCGATAATGTTGTAGACACAAGCATTGAAACTGTGCAGTCAGTAGAGCTGAACATAGTTATGAATTAATTTAATTAATTCTAAAGTGACTCGGGTTTCCTCTTTAGTCTATTAGCTAGAGGGTGTGGGCTGTTGGTTTCTGTAAAAGTAGGTTCACACAGTGAAGGAATAAGACCATCTGGAATGGTGATCAGTGTAGCGTTACATCATCTAAAATCAGGACAGTGACATGGGGCTCTGTGTATTAGCTGGCTGTTTCCTTTTCACTGTCCTCTTACATCTCACTGTAGGTAAAGCTGTGTGTTGAAAAATATAATGGTACTTTAATTTTTGAGGATTTTTATTTTGTTATAAACAAGATAATTATTCTTATCTGTTTATATTGTATGTTAAACTCCCAGTGGGATTTGGGACTGTGGAAATGTCGTTTCTGTGTCCCAGGAGGAAGAGCAGAGAGGTTCCCACAATATTGTATGGCATCCACAACACTATTGAAGAGTTGAAGTGGTACTGTAGAGGCCCAGTCATGTAAAATGGTTAAGATGCTTTCAAACTTGCTCTGGTAGAAGATGTTTCTGGACAAAAAGAAAAAAAAATCTTTATTTTGATCTTATGAGCAGCATGACAAAGACATCTACCATGAAAATCAGACTACCATCTGTAGTAGTGTGCTTGAGGGACTCCTACATCAGAGTTGAAATCACATCATATAATCTGTACTATCTTATGAAACTTTAAAAAAACAGATGAGCAGCAGTTCTTACTGGATGACATTTTGGCTGGCATCTTTAATCAGGAGACTGTCCTGCAGTTATATCTCCTCTGTGTTCGGTTCTCTCTCAGCCTCATTATTTATTCTGAGGTGATCAGTTAAGAGTCAAAGTTTAGTTGATCTCAGATAGTGTCACCCCCTGTCAGTATAATACCTCTACCTACACAGAGGACATTGTAAAAAGAAAAAGAAAAGCATGGTCACAGAGATATATCAATAGTTAAACAGAAGGTAGTCACCAATACCTCCTTGCTTGTAGAGTTGCATATGACCCTAGGGAGACCCTGGGTTTCACTTAAACACTGTCACATGCCTTAGCTAGGCGGTATAACACTTGGAACAATCAAAGGCAGACATGAGAAGGGTGTTCCCTGTTTATTTATGATGTAAGTGAAAAAATCATCGCTTGTGAGAAATGATGCCATTTCCAGATATTTGTTGATATAATATTAGACATTTTCTCTCAAGGGTAAAACAAAAATTATAATGTAATCTTTTGGAAAAAATGTATTAATGGCATAGCTAATATTACACCTCTGTTTCTTAATAATGGAGGTCATAATGATCTTAGTTATGCCGCACAGCCAGACCTTCCTTCTCCCCTGGAGAAAACGTAGCTCTTCACGTGAGGAGAGCATCCATTCCAAATACAAGGCACCATTGTTTTCTTCAGAGGCAGGTGCCACACTGGATCAGCAAACTTCAGCTGCAGCATCCTCTGCAGCTTTTGACAGTGAAGTGGTTAATTTTCATTGATGTCTTTGTTTATAGCATTTATCTCTGACTTATCCAAAGGGAACATTAGATGTTGCTTTAGAACTTGAGGATAACACATAAACTCTTACCTGCTTTTCCAACTGAATGGGGAAGCAAAATAAGAGAGTGCCCAACAGCAAAATGATACACACACAAAATAACAACTCTCAATTCTTAATCTTGTCCAACTTAGCTTCTTCTTCTTTTTTAAGTTAAAATAAGAAATGATGGGAAGCTGTATCTACACCCTTCTCCAGTTTCATCAGCAGGATTGAAGCAATTGTTGGCAGTGGGGATGCTTTTCACTGGTTGTGGGAAAAACATTTTGTACACAGTATGATACTGTTTTAGCAAACCAGGTTGTTTTGTTATAGTATTTGGTTTTCTAGCTGCACATCCACCAGAAGAGCACAAACCAAGGCCATTGCAACAGGCATTTTTAAATTAATATAACATGCAATTCCATGCATACATATACATGGGCTGTTTGTAAAGGTGTCTGTGGGATGTGAGATTTGTAACCAGTTATGGCAAAATGAGGCATCACTGCTGTAAGGCCTCATAGGATAATATTTACTGAACGTTAACTTTGATGATCTGTTACTGTTTGAATCCTTTGTTGACTTGATTCTGGTTTGTGTTTAGTGTGTTTCTCTGACAAGGGACTGCAAGGGGCTGGAAGATTCTGTGTCATGCATCCTCTGAGACCTACCATGTTGCACACTTTGTTAACTACAAACTTCACTCTACACTATACAGTACCTTGTTGATATATTCAGTAAAGGCTTATTTTAAAAGAAAACCCATTGTGTTTATCTGAGTAAACTCACTGTAATGTAACCAGTACTTCTGCTGTAATGCAAATGAAAAAAAGAGAGAGAGAGAAATTCTTATACAACAAAGATGACAAAAATGAAGCAGGCTTTAAAGTGTCCATACCCTCCTACTGTAAAAACAGCATCTATTTTTAAAGACAGTGGTCTTTTTGTGTAAGAGGATAATGTGGTAGTCAAATGTTCCTTCCTTTGTCCTCACTGAAATATTTTCAGAAAATGATCTTATAAACACACCACCACAGGAAGAATAGCATTCTGTGTTTGAGCAACACAAGCAGACACGTGTAACTAATGTGTACAAAATCACAGAAATCTTTCTCTTTCACAATATACACTATTGATTTTTGAATGTTACCTTTGAGAATTCTTGTCCCTTTTACTTAAGTATTGCTCACTGTTCGTCTGTACTTTTAGATGGATACTCAAGGTGGTGCATCTACTCATACAACTCAGATTTGTTTCTAGATTAGTCTTAAAGGATTTTTCAGAGCCGCTCTCTCCTAACACTTGACTATTTCACCACTGATGTATTTGACATTGGATGAATGAATCAGGAAATAAAATGATGACCTTTCAGTTAACTAGCATTACTAATTATAGGACTTCAACTGGGCAGTAAACTGTGAAATCCAGGATTAGAAGGAAATTCATATTACTACATTGAGAAGACTTTACATAGAGTACTGTGATTGCTAATCTTCCCTTTTTTTGGATAAGTTATGGAGTTTACTGTAACTAGGCTCTCAACCAATAAGAATCATTCATTTAGTAGAATTTATTAAGGTCTTCATTCACTTCCTGGGCTCTAGGGTGACTTTGGAGACTTTAGAAGAATACAATGAAATCTTAGACAAACCACCTCTATTTTCCAGCCCACTGGAAATCTCAATGTATTTACTGCTAACCTACTTTTTACAAGAGTATGTTACATTTTACTCTGTTAAACTCATAAAAGAATGATCTTGCTATTTAGGAACTAAAAGATCCCTTCCTAAATACTTTTTCTAAGACATTCTAATGTATTCTACACCATTTTCCTATAGTAACAGTATACCCACAGTAATAAAAGAGGTACATCTACCAGTGAGGAAGTGAGATGATACAGTTTTCATCAAGTGTCTTAAAATGTTACAAAGTGAAAGCATGTTGACAAAGTTCAGTTGGGGCTCAGTTGGAGTTAAGGTTTCAAATTCACAAGAGATTGAAATGGTATTTGCAAATTATACATGCAACATACTAATGTTCTATTAAGAACCAGAAAAGGAATCAATCAAATTTAATAAATGTACCTGGGAAGTGTGAAGAATACATGGAGATAAGTTTGCTCTTACTCTGTCTCTGCCCCTTTCCCTCCTTTCATCCTCCCCCTCCCTCTTTCCCTCTCTCTTTCCTCTCTGCCTTCCCCATTGTGTCTTTAAGATATCCATGTAAGGTTCATTCTCAGTAATTTTTCATATTTTATAACTAAGAAAATCTCAGTGTTTGGTCCATAATTCCAAGTGTAGATGGTAGAGTCAGAATTTAGCTTCCAGCAGGACTACATAGAATCTTCACTAATTGTCTAGCTTAAGGCTGACCTTCATGATAAAATAGTATTCAGTCTTTAAAGACAGAGCTATTGCAGGCTTTCATTGGATACCAATACTAACTCCTTTATCTAGATGGACACATTGATATTTCCAGGCAAAGGTGGTTCTTATTATTTCAGTGATTTATAAACCTCAATAATGGGGTAATCTTTCCTTAATGATACACAACACAGTCTTGGATTCTGTTAAACTCAATGGATTGGCAGTATCTGCCATTATTGCTTTATCTTTATTACCATTCATTGACTCTTTGCTGAAAGTTTGGGTACAGAATAGCACAGTATTCCTGGGAGTTAATATGCTGCATCAGAATCTCTTCCAGAAACTGCAAGTATTTGACACATGGCCTGGATTCTCCCTGTTCTACACCCTTCAAGGGTTCACATATCTATGTTTAAATTTAACTCATTTAAATTTAAATGGTAATTTAGCTCATTCCAGCATTTGCATGAGCTCTTCAAATTTGTTTTGTTTTGTTTTGTTTTCTCTCTGTCCTCTGTCTTCAGCCTTCCCTATGCACTTCAGGGAAACAGTCTCTAGATAATGCCTGAGTAGGACATAGTCTTGGTTTAAAAATCTGTTGCCTTCACTTGGGAAGTGGCAGTCAGAAGACAACTTGTTGAAGTCAGATCTCTGTTTTCAACATTTGGATCCTGGGGATCAAACTCAGTTTGTCAGGCTTGGCTGCAAATGCTTTTACACATTGAGTCAACTTTCCAGCCATTGTCCTGTTAATTTTTCATAGAGTTGTTTCATTATACTCTAGACACCCTGGAAATCTTGAACACATTTTACCAATTCTTTCAGCCTGTCCATTGCTGAGTACAATTCCAGGTCCCCAGGAGTCTTAAAGCAAAAATGCCTTCTACAAATAGAAGCTTGAATCATATTGAGTAGCCTTGATCATACAGCTGAAAATGTGCTTTATGTAAAGAGGGAAAACGATCAGATCATCCTCCAAAAAAAAAAAAAAAAAATCTTTGACTACCCATTCATATTCATTTTACAAGAAAAAGTGGTGGCCATATATTTGATTTGAAATTTTTTAAAGAATTGTGTTATGCCTCAAGGGTGTGCTAAGTGAGTAAATCACATGAATTGAAGAACTTCGTTTTATGTTACAGGCAAATTCAAAATTCTGAGCTAGTTTTGGGGACTAACAGCATATAAAAGAATATCTTTTAAAATTATCTTGCAATAAAGTGGCACAATCATGAAAAGTCCACAAAGCACCAGTCCACATTAAGTCAAACAATCTGACAGTTTGGGTGTTAAAATCAATTTTCCACATTTGAAAAGCATAGGTAGATGTAACTTTCATTTCTAGCAGTAAAATCAGAACAGACCATTGTTATTCATTGTCACAGCTCAGATGAAAACACACAAAGATCACTCATAGGGTCACATTATATTGTCTTATTTTCAGCTATGGGGAATCTATAATCCTTTCTAGAAATAATTTCTCCCTATGGAAAAATACGGTGGTATTTAAAAAGTCAGACTTGAAATTAGTCTGATTAATTTGACATAGTTGACCCGACTATTAGCCAGCCAACTAATGGAAGCAATAACTTGCATTTGAAGTTACCTGTTTTCTTTTGTGTCAGTGGGGATCATGATATTTCATACAAGGGTCAACCTGTTGAGCAGTTGGCACAGTATATGCTTCTGAGGAAACACCAAGTGAATGACATTCAGTCCTATGTTTTGTGTTTTTTTGTTTATTTCCTCAATATAAAGTGGCCTATATTCATTCTTCTGTGATGAAAATTCAACATTAGAATAATTAACAAAATTCTATGTAGATATGATCTATTTAAAGGTAGTTGCCTTCCAAATCCAATTTAATTATGCGCAACTATGAGTATCACAGTCAGACAGTTTTCCATTGTCCTAATATTTTTTGTGATTGTTCTTGTTTTGAAAGAGCTGGAGGAAGTGAGTTGACGCATAACAGCATACAGAAATAGTGGGCTCTTTCTTTCTTGGTGAGGAGGACCAGTGAACAACTGTTGAGTGCAATGAGTATACACTGCTTTGTGAATGTAGCCCATTTCCTCCATCATGCAGGATGCAAATAAGTGTGGTTATTGTGGAAAGTAAAAGATATGTAAACATGTATCCCTGAGATTGAGCATTCAGAAGTTACTAGAGAAGAGAAAAAAAAAAACATGATTTAAAATGCATTTGTCTTAAAATCTGTAGGTTTAGTTTTTATTTTCTATGTTCAAGATCAAAACTAAGGCCTTATATTAAGCTGTATTCTGAATTCCAAAAAAATATATATATATTTTTTTTAAATGGTTTGATGGTGGTATAAGCCACAATGCCAGCACCATAACTTGTAAACCCACCCTGGATTGCAATGGCCAGGCAGGCAGCAACCCAAAGAGAGAACATTTCTATGGCTCTTCAAAGCAGGTGCAATTTTTTTTTAACCACTTGCCTGTTACTTTTTGAATCAATGAGATTCTTAATTTTATATTCTGGTAGTAATTTATAGTCACATATCTGCTTTACTATTTTTTAAAATATTTTATTTTTTTTATTTGTATGTTGTTTTTGTCTTGAATGCATGTCTATACACCATGTACATGCCTTGTGCCCATGGACCAGAAGAGGCCTTTGGATTTCATGGGACTGTAGATGCCGACAGTTGTGAACTGCCACATGGGTGCTAGGAATCCAATACTTATCCTCTGGAACCACTGAGCCATCTCTACATAACATGTCATGTTGTTTTTGTATTTTTTTTCTGAACATACTTTTTGACAATGAAAGTAAATAGCATCAAATCAGCTTTATCACAGTGGTTTGCCTCAGCATTCCTTTCCTCCATGTTTTCTATCTTTTCTTCTTCCAAAAATGGAGGAAACCAGACATTTCTTTCTTACATCGAAATATATTTTTCTGCCCAAACCTAATTTTATTGCACAATTGATTTCAATAAAATTATTTGCCAGCTGTCCAAGGAAACAGCATTATGTGATGTGATAGAACCAATCTCTATTCTCTTTGGACAAGTGTTGCTTGGCTGGCCCTCAATTTTTTATATTTTGTTAGCTTCTTTCCTGGCCTTCACTGGTAAGATGAATGTCAATTTCCCTAGTCTTTCTGAAGTAAGAAGAAGCTGGAGTGAGCTGTTTTGATTTTGTTGTGTATTTGCCATTAATTTTTATTTATTTGTTTGTTCATTATTTATTTTACATACCAACCATAGTTTCCCCTCCCACCTCTACTCCCCTTCTCTCCCCCACCTCCTTTCTAACAACACCTCTGACCACTGCATCCACTCCTCAGAAAAGGTAAGGTCTCCCATGGGAGTCAACAAAGTATGGCACATCAAGTTGAGGCAGGACCAAGCTCCTTCTCCCTGCATCAAGGCTGAGCAAGGTATCCCACAATAGGGTGTAGGTTCCAAAAAGTCAGCTCGTATGCTGGGGACCCATGAGAATGAAAACATTAGTCTAGAACCTTAGACTACCACCCAAAGGCTAACCTATTCAAAAATGACATATCTGTTTACTTCCTGGGTGAAAACTATCTAGAACCATAGCTGGAGTTTTCTCCAGTCCCGCCTGGGCCACAGCCACTCAGACCCAAATAAACACACAGAGACGTATATTACTTATAAACTGTATGGCTGTGGCTCAGGCTTCTTGCTAGCTAGATCTTACAACTAAAATTAACCCATTTTTTAATCTATACTTTGCCGCATGGCTCATGGCTTACCAGTATCTTTACATCATGCTTCCTCTGTGTCTGGTTGGCAACTCCTGACTCAGCCTTCCTCTTCCCAGAATTCTCCTCTCTCTTGTCCCGCCTGTACTATACTTCCTGCCTGCCTACTGGCCAATCAGCGTTTTATTTATCAATCAATCAGAGCAACACATTCACAGCATATAGAAAGACATCCCCAGCCTAGAGCTAGATTCAGGTCCCTGCTGCAGCTTGTACTAATGTGAATCAAGAGCACATTCATACATTGCTTTTCTCAACTGGGTTTGGGGATTAAATTACTCACCTCCACGATAACAGCACAACACAGTGCCTGGTTCATACCAAATACACAACAACTCCAGTCACTGAAAAAATATGTGGAATTGGTTTTCAGAATTTATTCTATATGCATCAGTTATTTAGTGGACTATGGGTATGGCCACTTATTTTTCTTGATTGCTACTTGCTTTCAAAAACCAGAAGAGCTTGTTGTGGTCTCAGAAGTCCTGTGCTTATGCCTTGGATTTTAAAAATCAACAACCAAGGAAGGAGCATAGAGGATATATACAGAGATCATCCACACAGTCGGGGGCCACTGATTTTATTATAAAGTCTAACATGTTAAACATTAACAAGTGATGCTAGAGCAGTGGCTAAGCAATTGAGTACTTACTGCTCTTCAAGAGAACCCAGGTTCATTTCTTAGCACCCCCATCAAGAGGTTCACAGCCATTTGGAACTGCAGTTTTAGGGAATTGGTTTCCCTCTTCTGGTCTCTATGAGCTCCTGCACACATGTGGTAAATGTAAATTCATTCAGGCATAGACATACATAAAATTTAAAAAAAAAGATAAAATAAAATGTAACTTTAAAATAGGTGGGCTAGGGGAGCAGCAAACATAGACACAACCAACACAAGTGATGGAATCTCAAATGCTGACTTTGAATCCATGTGGGATTCTCCAGTGCTCTCAAAGCTCGGTTTCCCCACACATGAGACAGGATACTAATACGTCTCAAGGTTTAATAGAGTTAGTGATGGGAAGAGGTCAGTGACAAGCATTGCAACTGAAAAACTACACAAACAATAGAGAAAAAACCAAGGAGACATAGTTATAAGACATACTGAGTAAAAACCTAATTAACATTCCTTGAAATGTTGAATTTGTCTTCTATTTCTGCAAGTCTTTGATGTTTGAAGCTGGAAGCTGGCAATTGCTTCATATTTACAGGAATGAAAGTAAGAGAATAATACAAAGGATAATATTAAATCATAAGCATGTAGTTTAAAATAAACAGAACAGATTTTAACACCAGCTCTCCCACTCCATCCTCCATCTCTGGAAATACATTTTTTAAAAAAAATCAGAGGATGAGTTCTTAGAATAATTAGATGATTCTTTTCCTAACATTTTCAGTATATTGATAAAATTACTGTGGAACACATAACAATGAAATGTTAATTTCAAAGTGCTTAGACTTTACAATAATTGTCTATAAACAGCTTTCTTTTGATCACATCACACACCTGGAACAATAATGAAACATTATTTTAATAGAGATATTTATATAGTGTAGACTTCCCAATAATTTATAATTGTCTAATGACTAAGATTTTAAATTGATGGCTTTTAATTGTACAATTGGAAAGTAATCAAGAGGACTGAAATTGAAGTAACATTATCTATTCTTTTATAAACTTATTTATATTTCTAAATAACTAGTTCTTTGTCATGAAATTTTAAACCTTTAATTAATTCTGTGTGGAAATTTGATAAAAGATTATCAAATTATTAAAATAATATTTTTCAAAGTGCATAAATATTATGGTTCCCCTAAGTAGAAGCAAATTACATTTTTAAAAGGAATTTCACAAAGGAAATTTAATAAAAATATTTAGAGATACTTTTATTGTAAACACTGAAATTCTACCTGGCAGTTTATGAACATCAACATTGCTATCTAACTGCAGAAAATCAGAGGTGAAGTCACGAGAGTGAAAAGATGCCACATTCCTATTAATCTCATCTAATTCTTTACCGTGACAGATAATTACATTTTGAAGAGATACATCTTTGGAACAATTTACTTTGTTAAATACAGTTGCTATCAATGAACTCATTACTATGAAGTCTGTTTTTGAATGCCAGTGTTCCCCCAAAGTATATGTCAAATTAATATAAGGAAGGGGTCTATTTAAAAATAAAATGTTTATGTGAAATTGGTCATATTGTCACAAGCAGCAGAAAAGAACAAAATATGAATAAATAAATTGTGTCACTACATGCATTTAAGAAAATAATCATCATAGGTTGTGGATGAATAAACATTCATTAGCCATAAAACATTTGCGAGTTGGGTACATGTCTAAATCAGTCTAATTTAAAAACAATGGAAAATGATATTTATACTAAGAAGTTATCAAAAGCACTAACAAGCAGTTTAAAGTAGTTAGCTTCCAATACTGAAAACCTGACTGCTATTCTTGACATCTCACAGAATCACATTCTCCGAAGGAGCAGCAGTGTTGTAGTCCCAAATATGGGTCCATCACTCACTTCTGTCATACCTTGCATGGTGATATATCATTTGACTTGAAATGAGAGTTAAATGATGACTGATGGTTTTTGCACTTAAATATGTACACCTGTAGAAAGGCTTCTGCAAACTTTTCACATTTAATCTCATACCAGTATTACAGAAGATCTAATTATTGTAGCTATATGACATGTCAGTAAAAGAGCTTGAATTTCTGATCTTACTCTTTTCTCTAGAATCCTCCATTTGGTTTAACAACCCTAAATAATCTTTATACATTTGACTCCAAGCATCATCACCCAGACGTGTACACATAGCCTAGTCTCTTTCCCAGTCTTTAATATAGGACCCCTAGCTTAATAATTTAGCTGCTGGATTTGAAAATGTCAGGGAATGAATGTGTTAGTCAAGGGCAGATTCTTAGGTGAGAGAAGCCACACCAGCCCATCCATACCCGGATTTTACAAGGTACCAGGATAAAGTCAGAACTCACAGCTCAGGTCCACTAGGACTAGTGGATAAAAACTATGGTATCCGAACAATTCCCATGGCACAGGGTTCCTGGGACATTTGCTGGATGTCTCATACCACTTGCCTGTTTATGTAATACATAGACTCAAAACATGAAGAGAAGCAATACATCATGGAAAGCACTCTGACAGAAGCCAGTGGCTGAATGAGAAACTTAATCTGGGCCTGGACCTTTTGCAAACTGCCCTCTTAATTGATTGGTTCCACAAGGTGACCCAGAGCAACACCATCTGACTCTACATTGCCATCAGGCACAACCTGTGTGAGGACAGAAAAATAAATTTTTGTGGACATTTTGGTGAATAAGGCTCTGGTCATCTTGAACCACCTGGCCAGAATCTGCTACAGACCAGGCATCAAGAAACTGAATGGAGAACTTGATGAAATTCCCCAGAATTATGTTCTCAGAACTCTTTGAAAAGTAGCCATAATTAGTAGGGGGAAAGGCCACACATTTGTGGAGTACTTGCTAATGATACCGCTGACTTGCACTGTGTATTTGAATCAAGTCTCCAGGAGGATTGTTTATAACCCTGAAAGTCTTTATAGCTTACTGTGAGCGACTGAAGAAGTTCTCTGCCTATGAGAAGATGAACCAATCCCCCCATCACCTGCATATACAAGGGTGGACAAGTGGGACAATAAATAGCTCCTTAAAAGGGCAGGGGACGGTGGGGGAAATGAGCCAATGTTTGTATTGCTTGAGTCTTTAAGGGAGGATTGAAGTTGCTGAACCCTTAGTGCCACTTTCTCCTCTTCTCACTTCCTTTCCTACCTACCCTACAGTGCCATGGGACCTCTGTTCTCTCATATAATCCTTGCCCATCCAGGCCCTTCGAAGCTTAGGCTTCTAAGTTTCCCTTGGCAAGCTTCCCTTCTTACAGGACTGTGTTCTCCACTGACATCCACCTGACAGTCTTGCTGGTCAGTTGCTGTTGTGCTTTGAAAAGCCAAGTTGGGACCCTTCCCCAGAGCGCATCCTCACACTGCAGCCTGAGATGCTGGTGGGTGACCCTCCTTCCCAGTGTTGTTCCTGTTCTACTCCTTCTGTCCTCCATAAGGACATAAGCTTGAGCCACACTTGCCCTGGCTAGTGCACTCACTAGACTTCAATGTGACCTCCAAGTACTTCCTGGGGACCCTGGTTCACAGGTATTTTGGTAGGCTAGGCAGAGGTATAGGGCTTCCTAATCCCAGTGATATGTAGGAATAAGAGGAAGAATTTCAGAGCCAGGAAACTTCGTAATGATTGAAGTACTGAAGCTTATGTACCTCAAGGATGAAGACCCAGGCTAGAGGTACTCCCCAGCAAAAAGCCAGGATGCTCACTGTTTCTCGGTGTTATAAGTCTCTAGGACCGCATCTACTACATCTCTGATTCTTCAGTGTGTTCTGTCCTGGCTTCCTGCTGCTCACCTGTCACTGGGACCATTAATTAATTAATTCCTGATTAATCTTACTTCTCCTCAAGTCTCTGTGAAGAAAAGTTCTTCATGATTTTATTTAAAACCCAACCACAACCATAAAAACTTAACAACAATTAACTGATACAGGATGGGATAAAGACAACTGATTGTAGAAAGGCAAATAGAAGAGATTTGAGCACAACCCAATCAAATGGACAGTCAGCAGGGAAGATTTCAATTTAGGGGCAGTGAGAAAAGCAAGCTTTGCTTGTGTGCTTGGTGTCCCTGTAAGTTCTACTGAGTTATTAGTTTAAAACCTCCTTCTGTCAGTTCCTGTTGGTGTCACCCAAGCTGACGAGAGATTTCTCAGAGGTTAGATCCCCTTTTACAGAAAGAAGGTAGGAAAGGGGCACCTGGGCATCTTTCTCTAAACAGACTAGCTCCAAATGTGCCATGCACTTCAAATGGGATGCAGGCTTATCTCAGGCTTTCATTTAAATGCCATCATGATACTACTTCTTCCTTTAAATAATCCTGTCTTTTTACCGTGCCTTTGAATGGTGTCCATCTCAAAAGACCAGCCTAATGTGACCATGCCTGCTTATTTTTGCCTGAGTCTGCTTCCCTGAGAATACAAACTGCCAAGCCAATTAAGATTTTTGCAAAAAACTGTCCTAAATTTAATCAGAGATGGCAGAGATAGAACAGTTAGCTATATACATTTAAAAGCCTGAGCTCAACGGTCTACCTGTCTTATCGAGAAAAGTGAAATAAAATTGCACTTCGTTTTGTAGCCTCCCTTGGTTCTTCTCATTCTTTGGATTTGAATGGTAACCGTGAACATCAGAGGCTGATGCTCTGCAACAAGTCGGTGTGTAGTAAACCTCTGTTGGTTGGTCAGTATTGCGCCTCTCTCTTATGACTGTAAGTTCAAGGATACAACCCCATAATGCTATAAACAAACAGCGGAGCAGAAGCAAAACAAAACTTACCTAACACCCATGCCTTCAAATGAAACAAAAAGAAATTGTTCATCCCTTTACATGAAACCTGTAAGCAAGTGGCAGTCAAACTTACTGGTGATAGGGCAAGTGTCTGCTGTGGTTAGATGAAAGAAAATAGACTAAATTCAGCAGGATCTTAGGAGCTGGCAGCCTGTATTCTGCAGCCACTTTGGGCCAATTATTTTAATGATACCTGCAGGATCATGTGAATGGTCTCACTTGCTGACTAAAAGCTGAGAAAGTGGAGACTCTCGCTCATGGTTGCCCTGTTTTCCTTCTAGGGACAATACTCCTCGAAAATTCGTTTAATCAGATGGCATGCTGTTTATGAGCAGGTCTTCACGTTAAGTTGACAGAGCCTTGACAGGAGTAAAAGAGAAGTGAATTCTCCTTCTGAAGTGGTTTCTGGTTTTAAAATAAGCAGCTTTTCTGGAGAGTGGCTTAACTGTAGGAGGAAAATGAAGATGGGCATTAAAGACCATCAAACATTTAAGGTCCAAATATACTCTCTTTCTTGCAAGGCAAACAAGCAACAACAAAAGGCACCTTACTAGGGATCCTGGGACTTCCGTATCTACCTTCTGCGGCTTACTTCTCAGGAGTCTGAATGACTGACAGCTGCTGAGTGTTCTTTTATGTTCAGGCATTTTCGCCTCCATTAAACACATCATCCATTGTAAAGGTGGAAAAAATGCAGCTGGAGGGGGGCTCCATCTGTAAATTACTTGCAAGTGCAGGGATGTAAGTAGAAATTATGGAAGAGAAATGGGCAAAGAATCACTCCCCCACATCTCCCCCACCTCTAATACACCACACACACACACACACACACACACACACACACACACACACACACACACACACACACACCTCTCTTATAATCTTAGTATTTGTGGGCAGGATAAGGCAAATGTTTTTGCAACTAGATTTAAGTCTCTTGACTACAACATAGAGAATTACACATACTGAGAAACACATCTTTAAAAGAGACCTGCGAGTCCCTGCTACCCATGCCTTACCCCACTTGGCATAAATAAGCATCTGGAACTGTATTTACCCTGCATGTTTTTTATCCAGGATGGCCTTGTCGCCTGTGTGGACATCTTGACTTGCCTTTTTACTGGCCAGACAGCTTTGCGGCCTGTTGCGGCAAGAGTTTAAAATGTACATCATGCTTGTACCACATCTAGTACATGTCTTTATAATGTAGGTGTCAATTATTCTAATATCACCCACAAATTGTTTAGCCTATGACTTACTTATATCTTACACAATCCACTGAAAATTATATCTAGTAACAAAAAAAGCTTTTACATGTATAACAATCTCAGAGAAACACAGAAGAAAATCTGATATTGAAGGATGAGATGTCAAGCTGTGAAGATTTACTCTTTTGGTAAAGCCCTGGATAGGATTTGTTGTGTTCATTATTCCTAATTCTATTCACTTGCATTTCTGGAAAGAACCAACCAGTCAATAGAATCCTTTCCTTTTACATTCTATTATGAATTTCTGCCACCCATATGTGCATGTATCAAATTTCAAGGCAGAGATAGAGAGAAGTTATCTTCACAGCAAAATTTAGACTTAGACACAAAGGAAATCAAGGAGAGAAAGCATAATCAGTGCTCCTATGTCAAAAGTTTAGTAGAAGCAGGAGAGTTCTGATTCCTTAAGAAAGGCTACTTTAGTGTGTCTTTGGATGGAACTGTTTAAGAGAGTTACTACAATCTTTCCCCACAAATGTAAGGCTTATAGTAAGTATTTTCTTGTGGGAAGCATGTGGAATACTTTCTATTTCCTG